AAAAAGCGTCTAGGAGCGAAACGAGGCATTTTGCCCAAATTTAGAGGCTAGGCGTGACCTAGGGACTGTTTGGGCAAACTTTTTAGAACACTAGTTACGTCAATGTCTCTTCCCTCTCACTTTTTATATTTTTCTTTTTCCATGTTCTTTAGTTTCTAGAAAGACAAAATTTTGTCTCTTTTTTTCTATAAAGCACATTTTAACACTAATAATTTGTCAAAATAAATGAAAAATATATGTTTTGGATATTTTGCAACGAACTCCATAAAACACATGGACTAGTGTAGGATTAACTCGAGATTGTGTTGATATGCAATATGAATCACCAAATGTATCAAAAGCATATGGTGAGAATATTTATGTGGTTCCCATGATTTACTGAAAGAACTTTAAATGAAGTGATTCAATGGAGTTATATGTATTAATGAACTTGAAAATTAATGAAAGAACATTAGTAGTATGTTTATTAATGTAATAATTTTATTCATTTAATGAATGCATGTGGTGGATATGTAGCAGGAAAAAAGATATAAAAGGTGAAGAACGTGTCCTTTCCCCCACCATCGTATTTGTAAAAATATCACGACTACATAATACATAGTACATAATAAAGTGAGGGTAACAGAAAAACATTACACGATTACTTCGCAATTATCAGCTCTCGAAATTTTAATAGAAACAAATTTTATGTTTTGTTCCAATTGATCGTGGTTGAAAAGGGACGGACGACACTTGCGGATTGAGGCCATCAGTGGATGGTTTGCCACGTGGTTTAATCAAGACTGAACTTGGTTACTTTCAAATTTAAGAACTATAATTTTAATATATATTGTAGAATTCTAAGCTATTTTCACCATTTGAAAATTTTAAAGTTATTGTTTATTTCGTTGTTAAAATTAAATTAATATTTGAATTTTGTAACGAAACACACAATAAATTTAATTAAATAGATTTTACAATGAAATGCACAATAAATTTTATTAAAATTTAAATTTTCGTAACGAAACACACAATCCATTTATCAAAGAGACCAAAAGTGAATGAAATACTTTTGATTAAATTTATTGTGTCTTTCGTTGTAAATCCATTCATTAGTTTAATTTTAACAACGAAACATATAATAAATTTGAAGTTTCAAATGGTGAAAAGAACTTGAAATTATACCAAAAAAATGTTAAAATTAAATTTAACTATTGTGTAATTGAGTAATTATTTCTCGTGGGATTGACAACTGGGCTCGTTAGTCCACTTTATTACTTTTTTAACAAACAATATTTCGACATCATTTTTATAAATTTAGTAGTCAAAATTCGATCACCTCAAAGTTTGTTGAGCAATCGAAAACGTTTTTCGAAATTTATTGAACAATCGAAAATATTTTTTAAAGTTTGATAAGCAATCAATGACATAACAATTTGTTAACGACGCGATGGTACAAAACATATATATTTCGTTAACCACATGTCTAATTCCATTAAAGAGATTGAACGGATGTTAGGGTAGTGAGTAACGTTTAACGTTTTGATAAGTTTAGTAGCAAAAACTCAACACTTTACATTTCAATGAGCAATCGAAGGTATAAACACAAGCTCAGTCACCATTGGGACAATCAACTCCAATACCCAACTATTTACCTTTATTTATTTATTTTTGTGCTGTTAAATTTGTGAGAACAAAAAATTAGATTTGGAAGGATAAACATAGGTGCCTAATTTTTGTTTTCCCTTTACGACTAAAGTAGGTTGAAAATCCTTTTCTTTGCTTTCACTTCATTTCTCTTCAACTTAATTCATATTTCTTGCTAAATTTAAATTATCGGCACAAAATTCATCATCCGGTGACAGTCATTGTTTGAAACAAGTTTAACTTATAAGTTAATTTTATTTTTATTTTTTTGTCCAATATTAGTATATTGATTCCCCCCCCCCCCC